TAGTAGTAGAAGTAGAAGTAGAAGTAGAAGTTGTAGTAGTAGTAGTTGTTGTAGTAGTAGTCGTACTAGTATGGTACTGGTAGTGGTAGTGATAGTAGTACTAGTCGTAGTAGTAGTAGTAGCAGTAGTAGTAGTAGTAGTAGTAGTAGTAGTAGTAGTAGTAGTAATAGTAGTAGTAGTAGTAGTAGTAGTAGTAGTAGTAGTAGCCGGAGTAGTAGTAGTACAATTTGCAGAACAAGTAGTAGTAGTAGTAGTAGTAGCAGGAGTAGTAGTAGCAGGAGTAGTAGTAATGCCATTGGTGGTAAATTTTGCAGAACAAGTAGTAGCAGGAGTAGTTTTAGTAGTAGTAGTAGTAGTAGTAGTAGTAGTAGTAATAGTAGTAGTAGTAGTAGTAGTAACAGTAGTATTAGTAGTAGTAGTAGTAGTAGTAGTAGTAGTAGTAGTAGTAGTAGTAGTAGTAGTAGTAGTAGAGTGGGGATACGAATAGGTAGTAGTACTAGTAGTACGAGTAATAATACGATTAGTATATGCAGAAGTACTACAGGTAATACAAGCACTCGTACGAGTAGTAGTACAGAGTAGTAGCATTATGGAAGTAGAAGTACGAGTAATACTTGTATTACTGCTGGACTAGTAGGAATGCCATTGGTAGTACAATTTGCAGAACAAGTAGTAGCAGGAGTATTAGTAGTAGTAGTAGTAGTAGTAGTAGTAGTAGTAGTAGTAGTAGTAGTAGTGGTAGTAGTAGTAGTAGTAGTAGTAGTAGTAGTAGTAGTAGTAGTAGTAGTCGTAGTCGTAGTCGTAGTCGTAGTCGTAGTCGTAGTAGTAGTAGTAGTAGTAGTAGTAGTAGTAGTCGTCGTGCCAATGGTACTAGTAGCGCTAGTCAGGACGGGAGGGCCCGCAGCCCGCATGGACGTCCGCGCGCGATGTGCGCCGCGTCCCATTCCTGCAACATATTGCGCATCGTCGGCGACAAGGCAGGCCATGCTGAGATGAAAAAAAAAAGACTTTGTACTGATTTGTTACAGTCAGGGTGGGCGGGCCCAGATTGACTGCCGCGCGCGATGTGCGCCGCGTCCCATTCCTGCCACGCTTTTCGCATCGTCGGCGACAAGAAAGACGATGTTGAGAAGAAAAACGGCCACTGTGTATGGATTTTTTACAGTCCTGATGGGAGGTCCCGGATGGGGTCGCTATCGGCCGGAATACGAGGTAGGTGAGGGTATATAATAATAAGGAACAAGGATTAGTGTTAGGGGTGGCAGGGGTCGGGTTCCGGAGACCGGGGGCGCCGTGGCGAAAGGGGGGAGGGGGGGGAGGGGTCGAATTTGGCGGCCAAAGGAGGGGAGGGGGGGGGGCCGGACCCCCCCCCCCCCTTGAAAGGGGGGGGGAGGGGGGTCCCCGTCGACGGACGGACTGGGAAAGGGGGGGGGTCCCCGACGACGGATCGGAAAAGGGGGTGAGGGGTCCCCGACGACGGATCGGGGAAAGGGGGGGGGTCCCACCTCCCCACCCCGCTGGGGTCATCCAGCGGCGCGCCCTCCTTAAGAACACCATAAGTTGTTCAATATTTTCATAAAATGGTACCAAACGGGCTTCGCGCGCGCATGTCGAAATCGTTCGAAAGCCCTTGCGCGCGTGCTGGGGTGGCACGACTCGTGTCAAATAGTACCATGCGAGCCACTCTCGCGCGTCTGCCGCGCGCGCATTTTGAATTCCTTCAAAAACCTCCATCACCGACGCGAAGACGCCGTCATCATCGTCGGCGTGATCAGCATCGGCGCCGTCACTGGCTGCCCCGTCGTCGCTGTCAGCATCGTCGCCAGCATCGCTACTATCATCATCGTGTCAACCGTTACCGACGTTGCCATGATACCTCGCCCGCCCAAGTCGCCGACTCGCACTGAAGTGTGCGCTGGGATGTGCCGAGCGGTCAGCGCCACCGCGTTCGCGTCTGTCGCAACAAACTAGCTGGCCGCTGCGCGCGCGCGAGCATGCGCAAGCAAGCGCGGCCGAAGAGATGCACCAACCAACACCCAACACAATCGCTCCTGAATGGGTTTTGCAATCCAAGTTGCAGGTCGGTGGGTGGGATGATTGCGCGAACAGTGGAGTTGACAAATCCAAGTTCGGCAAGTGAGCTGTCCACCATTTGCTGCACCACGCATATTTCCCCACAAAGATTTGCACAACCGATATGGCACCGCATAAGTTGCACACCGTATTGTTCAACATCTGTTTCACCACGTATATCGCACCACACAGGTTACCTCACCTACATTGCATACTGTTTACTGCTAGATACACGCTGGCTTGGGGCTACGGTGGCTAACGTGAACAGATACGATATGTAATGATTAATGCATCTATACGGTTATGGTTTGACACCTACGTGTACAGATAGAGAGAGAATGAGAGAGAGAGAGAGAGAGAAAGAAAAGGAGGATGCTGATAATAACGACGAAGAAGCGGCGCATAAGGAGGAAAAGGAGGGCGAGGGCTTGGAGGAGAGGAGGTGAGCCAAAAGGTAGAGGCGGGTGAGACGAGGGAGGGGAAGAGCGAGGGAGAGAAGGCAAGAAAGAGCAGGCAAGAGCGAGGAGGGGAAGGGAGGGAAGACGAACGGAGGACCCGTTCGCTTGGCCCACATATCTGAGCAGCAGTTGGCATGCGGCCGCGGTCATAGGTTTCTCAGCGTGTGTGTGTGTGTGTGTGTAAGTAGCTCATCTCGGCTATATGAGCGAGCTGAACTCATAGCTGCAACTCAATGTCCGAGAGGGGGCGCTTGCATAGGCCTTCTCGGTCGGCGCCAGCCAGGCGTGGATCGATAGCAACAGTCTGCATGTTGCAGCTGGGCTTGTTTTCGGTAGCAGGTGAAATTCTGAAGGCATCCGTTTTCTCATAAGACAGAGAGGGAGAGGGAGAGAGAGAGGGAGAGAGAGAGAGAGAGAGAGAACGACGGAGACAACGACGAGTCAACCTTAAAGCCTCCGCGGGGTTTTCGCTCCGCGAGCCTTTGGGAAGCATCTAGTTTCTCAGGAGCGGTCTTGGAATGCCCGGAGGCGATTCGGGGCCGTCTTGGCGCCATCCTCGGGCGTCTTGGAGGCCTGTTGTAGGCCATCTCCAGCCAATGTGGACCGTCTTGAGCCCATCTAGGTGGACATCGATCACAGAAATTGGGGTCCCCCATTAGGACTGCCCCTCGACAGCACCTCAGGTCGCCTCTTGGCACCCTCTTTGGGCGATCTTTGGCCGCTCTTGGGCGCTCTTGGGGCCATCTTGGGGCCGTTTTGAAGGCATCGGTCAAAAACAATGGGGTGGTAAAGTAGCCTCGCCCAACTGTTGCCCGAACGATCGCCTCTTGGGGCCCAGCGCTCGTGGGGCGCTCTTGGGGCCGTCTTGGAGCCCTCTTGGGCCTCTCGTGGAGCATCGTGAAGCCATCTTGAAGCCCCGAATGGCCATCCGAAGCAAAAGGCAAGGCAGCAAGCAACATTAAATGTCTTCGGATGTTGGAAGGATGTTGGCCTCTAGGTGGTGTCAGTGGGGATGCTCTGAGACCACTTACTTGGAGCCGTCTTGAAGCGGGATTGGAGCATGTTGGCAGCCATCTTGAGCCATCTTGAGGCATCTTGAACCATATTGGAGGTAGTCCTCGGCACTCTGGGACCTTCTTGGAGCCATCTTGGGCCAACAGTGGTACTCTGACACCTCGCCGCCCGCACCGTCCAAGTTACAAACAAAAAGGCTTAGGGGGGAGGGGGAGGGGGAAACCCTTCCCCGAAGTGGAACAGGGAGTTGGAAGAGGAGACGGCCTAAGCCACTTACGCCCAGAGGGCAGGTGATTTTACAAAAGCCAGCCTCCTGGCACGGGCGCGTTTGTGGGTGGCTCTCCACACCTGCAAATCAGGCAAGTCGCAGGCAACATAGATGGCGAGTACATGGTGGGGGATAGCATCAGCGCACGCGTGCGCCCCAACCGCAAGCACCTAGGCCCGAGAGCCGCCTGGAGCGGCGTGCGTCGCAGCATGCTGCGCCACCTTGATCCAGAGACGAGTCGTGCGTGTGAGGAGGAGGAAGAAGGAGAGCTCAGTGTAGTGCAGTCGGGCCGTTGAGGCCTCCGCTGATCGCCAGCTCTGCCCTGCTCTGCCGCCTCCGGGCGTCTCGTTGCGACAGCGCGGACCCCCGTGCCTCCTCGGGAAGTCCGTGGCCAGAAGCCCGCGCTGCCCCTTCGGGGGCGTCCCGCGCAAGGGGCGCGCGGCGGGGCCATCGCCCCGCGTCCTTCCTCCACTCCCTCGCCGCCTGGCCGCATCGCACAGAGGCCGCTCGACTTCCACTCCCGGGAGCGAGGCACAGGGACGAGGCTGATGCACGAGATCCGCCGAGAAGCGCTAGAGTCCATGCCAATGTCGCCCGGCCCGGGGCATGCCGAGCTTCGGGTGGCAAGGTGGCTGTCCGTGTGGCGCTGACAGTGGTGCCGCCCGCCGGCCCCGGCCGAGCAGAAACATACCTGCTGACGTGGTGATCTGATGGCGCATGCTTGCCAGAGATTGCCGGAGCAGCTCCCCTGAGAGGTGGGCCCACCCCCGCGCCGCCCACCCTCGCCGGCGTCCGCCCGCCAGGCCCGCTCCCAGGCCGCCCAGTGCAGTGGGCCGCGCCGCGCGCCCCTCCAGGCGGCTCTTCGGCACCTGGGCCCGAGGGCCGCCCAGAGCGGAGCGCGGCGCAGAGCACTCCACCGCGCTGGCTCAGGGAAGACACCGGAGTTGAGGCTGGCTGCCCGGCTTGCCCGGCCCGAGGAGGCGGAGGCCTCGGGAGGTCCCCAGGGAGTCTCTGGAATATTCTGGTGGCTTCAGGAGGGGCCAACAACGTCCCAAGATCACGAGCATCGAATTGGTCGACCGCTTCGGCTTCGCTTGCCCTGGCAATGCTCCGGCATGTCGCTCTGGAGCTTGGCTGCTGGCGCGGGGGGAACAGAACAGATCTTCGAGACTCCCGGGCCTGCGCAGGCTCGCACGACGTGTTCAAGCCCGAGCACGCCTCACAGGCCGAGAGGAGGGAGGTGCGCCTGAAGCGCTTCGGCGTGGACAGCGATGCCACGAAGGCCTTGCCAGATGTCCAGGGGGCTAACGTCGACGAAGGACGGAAGACGATGAGGAGCAGGAGGAGGACGACGACGACCACGACGGCACCGGTAACGACTACGAGACGGATCGAAATCGTTTTGCGCTTTGACCCTTTTGGGTTCTCCGATGGCCTTCGGAGACCTCTGGTGGCCTCCGGAGTCCTCTTTGTGCAAGGGGAGGGTGGGCCTGGGCGGCTGCAGGCTTCAGGGGCGCAGGCTTTTGGCGTGCCCGTTCTTGGGATCACGTGCTGCAGTTCTGGAAGTGGAAGAGGGGAGGAGGGTGAGCAGGAACGGGGGCATCGGGAAGAGCGGGAACAGCAGGAGAATCACGAGGAGGAGACGGTTGAGTCGGCGGGGGATGGTCAGTAGGAGTAGGAGGAGAGGGAGCGGGAGGAGCAGACTATGCAAGCGCAGGGGGAGGGCCAGGGGAAAGGCGGACGCGGATGATGATGATGATGATGATGATGAGGAGGAGGAGGAGGAGGAGGAGGAGGAGGAGGAGGAGGAGGAGCAGCAGCAGCAGCAGCAGCAGCAGCAGGAGCAGGAGCGGGATGCGGACGATCATGACGTGATGCTGCCGTCCTGGCCCCCGCCCTCGTGCGTCCTCTCTCCATCGTCGTCGTCCTCACCCTCGCCATTGACTGCGTCTTCCTTTTCGCCCTCGTCGTCGTCGCCGTCGCCCTCCGTAGCCATTCTGGCTCAAGCCATGTTGGCTCAAGTGTAGTTTCGGCCCGATGCCTGGGTGCCGCGGGCTGGGACTAGCGCGTGACGGCGGCGCGCGAAGAGGCGCCCATTTTGTTGGCGGCGCGGGCGGGCCGCGACGGCCCACGGTTTCGTCAGGGGCTGGCGGCTGCTGCCAGCTGGCTGGAGGAGCACCGCGGCTCGGCGGCGCAGAAGGTGGGCAACGGCGGAAGAGGGGAGCAGCGTGGGACCTGCGGTCAGCGAGGAATGCGGCGGGCTGGGCGTGGGACGACCTGCTGCAGCAGAGCAAGGGCTGTTGCGGCTGCGAGGCGTTCGTGGGGCACTCGAAAGCGGACCAGCCGCCGTGGGCGACGAGTTGTCAGGGCGTAAGAAAGATTGGCCGTTGGAGAAGCAGCAGCAGAGGAGGAAAAGGCAAACCGAGGGAGGGAACATGCGGCATCCCACATCCCACACCAGCGGATTTGCGAGCAGCCCTGGAGATCGGGGAGAAAAGGCAACAGGGACGAGGCGCTGGAGAGGCTGCGGAAGTACGCGGCTCCGCCCCCGTCGGCAGGCGCCGTGGCGCCGACCGCGCAGCAGGCGGACACCTTCGACAAGCTCAAGAAAGTGCGAGGCACGGCCACCCAGGACTGGCAGACACTGCTTGCGAAGGAGGCCAGGGTGCGGGCGGCGAGGCAGCACCTGGCAGACTTGGAAGCACAGAGAGCGAGAGAGAGAGAGATAGAACCAAAACAAAATAGAGAAAGAGAGAGAGAGAGAGGAGGCAGAGGCAGACAGTGCGCGGGGTCCAAGGAGGAGATCAGGAAGGCCAGCGAGGAATACTTCGGGGATGCCAGCGGGGCTACTCCAGGGCTTCGAGACGATTCAGGACCTGATGGAAGAGCTGGAGGTCGACGGCGAGGATGCGAACGCCGACTGCCAGCGCTTCATGAAGGACCTGGAGCAGTACCAGCGTGAGGGGAAAGGCACACTGCAGGATGTCGAAACCACGAGAAGGTCTGCGCACGGCTTTAAGAGGAGGCGGAGCAGAAGGCACACAGATGGTCCACCAGGCGCGGGCTCGGGCCCGCGGGGCCTCCGAGAAGCAGAAGGTCCAACCGGCGGCAGGAGGAGCAGGCCTTGCGGCTGCAGCAGAAGCGCCAGCGACGAGAAGAGCGCGGGACAGGAGGACGAGGCCCCAGCGGCCAGACCGAAGCAGCAGGACCACGGAGGGCAGCTCCCGACGAGGCCATTCGGAGACCTCGTCAAGGCCTACGGGGTTATGGAAGACAGGCTGCTGATGCTGGGCAAGGAGGCCCAAGAGGCGGCGGACGAGGCCGCAAGAGAGGCAGAGGATGCCTGAGGAGAGAACAAAAACAACGCCGCCGAGGCGAGCAGTTCAGGGCGCCCGAGGGAGGGCGCTGGCGGAGAGGCAGGCGCTGAGGGGAGCGAAGGCCAGAGGAGGAGGAGGGGCCACCCGCGAGCAGGAGGCCTTGAGGAGGAGCTGAGGGCGGCGGTGCGCGGAGGCTACGCGCGGTCGCCCGCAATGAGCGGACAGACGCTTGTGGCGCCGTCAGAGAGCGTCGCCGTCGCCCTAGTCGTTGTCGCCGTCATCGTCGCCGTCGTCGTCGTCGTCGTTGTCAGTTGTGTGGTCGTCGTCGTCGTCGTCGTGTTGTCGTCGTCGTCGTCGTCGTGGTCGTCGTCGTCGTCGTCGTTGTCGTCGTCGTCGTCGTCGTTCGTCGCGGGGTAGTTTTCGGATCCCCAAGAAGGCCAGGCGGACCTCTGAAGACATCCGAACAGCCACCAGACTATCGCCAGAATCTCCTGAACAGTTTCGATGGTTTTCCCATGCAGCTGGGTGTTCGCATGTGCGTTGTCGCAGGGGACTTGCGCGAGTTTGTTGTTGCCCTCGTTTCACCAACTGTCATGTGCACCGCATTTTTCGCTGCTCGCGGTGAACCTCCGAAAACGGGTCCGACAACCTCCCGAAGGCTTTGGGGGCCTTCAGAACATCTGCGGGACAAGTTTGGGACGTGCCGAGAACGTCCAGGAAATTTTAGAGGTGTTTCGCACATTTCCCAGGCGCCTCAAGACGCATTCCAGCGATACTTTGTTTGGAAGCATAACAAATTCCTACGAATATCATCCGCCGACCTGCCCATAAAAATACCAACGGTATCCGAGCACATGTTTGGAAACTCCCCATGCACGTCCGAACACGTTCCAGACACGTTCTGGAAGCTTGAGGGGACCTTCAAAGAACCAACCCCGTTGCATGTTCGGCATGAACGAAAAGGTCTCGAGTCCTGAGGGGAAGCGGTCCAAGGTTGCGACCCCGTTTCTGGCCTCCCCGGGCCGTCCACAGGCTCCGGGAGTCGGGTATTCAAGACGATTCAGAAGACCAAACAGTGGTCTCAGGGAAGGCCCTCGGGATGCAGGGCCCCTTCTCTTTCCCGTGCCAAGCAGGTCATCATAATGGTGCAGCGCCTGTCGGGCGAGAAGGGGACGGACACGCGCCGCGCGTGGCCCCCGCGCCGGGCGCGCCGCCCCGGGCGGGGAGGCGGCACGGGGTAAGGAGGTAGGGCGCAGACGAGGGGGAACTAGAGCGGGGAGGAGGTGGAGGCGGAGCAGGGGGAGGGGGGAGGCCGGGCGGGGAAACACGGGGAGGGATGAGGGAGGAGGGGGGGGAGGAGGAGCATGGGGCAGGACATCAAGGAGTTCGGGACCAGGAAGGAGGAGGAGGAGGAGGAGGAGGAGGAGGAGGAGGAGGAGGAGGAGGCACAGAGCAACGAGGGGAAGGACAGAGATGTTTTCTTCGCGCGGGGAGGGCATCCATGGTAGGAGGAGGAAACCGTTCAACGCGTCCTCGCCCCCAGCGGCCTGAAATGCCAGCGGCATATCCTCAAGCCCCATGCCCGAGTCATCTAGCAACATGTCCGCACCTCCTGGCTCAAGACTGCAACCAACACTATCACCGCCCACCCGCCACCGTGGCCGAAACCTGCTAGCAACATGCCGTAAACCGTATAGTTTATGTTTGTTGTGGAAATGTATTCCTGGGATAGCGCTGTCAGCATCACAACACCCTCTCCCGTGTCTAACATTGCCAGCAACATGTTGCCGCTTCCTGGCAGAACACGTGTCAGTAACAGCTATGTATCTTCACGCCATGTCTTGTCATTGCAAACATCATGGGGTATCCTCCCTGACTGAAGATTGCATGCGAGAAGTATATGTGCTGAACACGCCAGCAATCGATGCTAAATATTGTAAGCAACATCTCTTCACCCTTTGCGGGGAACGCCACAATATCAGTGTTGTCGCTATTCACTTGCCAGTCCAACTCAATCCACCTCAGACAGAAATCAACTTGCCAGCCGCGGAGCGGGACCTCGCCGTCCCTGGGGGACTGCGATCTGCGACATTGTCGCCACTTTCGAGGGCTGCTGGTGGGTCCAACCGCGCAGACCTGAGCGGGACCTCGCCGTCCCTGGGGGGCTGCGATCTGCGACAGTGTCACCACCGTCGAGGGCTGCTGGTGGGTCCAGCGGAGTGAGGCACCGCGCAGACCTGAGCGGGACCTCGCCGTCCTTAGGGGGGTTGCGATCTGCGACATTGTCGCCATTTTCGAGGGTTGCTGGTGGGTCCAGCGGAGTGAGGCACCGGGCAGACCTGAGCGGGACCTCGCCGTCCATGGGCCATGGGCTACGATCTGCGACATTGTCGCCACTGTCGAGGGCTGCAGGTGGGTTCAGCGGAGTGGGGCACCGCGCAGACCTCGGCGGGACCTCGCTGTCCTTGGGGGGCTTTGATCTGCGACATTGTCGCCACTGTCGAGGGCTGCTGGTGGGTGCACCGCGCAGACCTGAGCGGGACCTCGCCGTCCTTAGGGGGGCTGCGATCTGCGACATTGTCGCCACTGTCCAGGGCTGCTGGCGGGTCCAGCGGAGCGGGGCACCGCGCAAACCTCGGCGGGACCTCGCCGTCCCTGGGGGCTGCGATCTGCGACATTGTCGCCACTGTCGAGGGCTGCTGGTGGGTCCAGCGGAGTGGAGCACCGCGCAGCCTTGAGCGGGACCTCGCCGTCCCTGGGGTGCTGCGATCTGCGACATCGTCGTCATTTTCGAGGGCTGCAGGTGGGTTCAGCGGAGTGGGGCACCGCGCAGATCTCGGCGGGACCTCGCCGTCCCTTGGGGGTGCTTTGATTTGCGACATTGTCGCCATTTTCGAGGGTTGCTGGTGGGTCCAACCGCGCAGACCTGAGCGGGACCTCGCCGTCCTTAGGGGGGCTGCGATCTGCGACATTGTCGCCATTTTCGAGGGTTGCTGGTGGGTCCAGCGGAGTGAGGCACCGGGCAGACCTGAGCGGGACCTCGCCGTCCCTGGGACACTGCGATCTGCGACATTGTCGCCACTGTCGAGGGCTGCTGGTGGGTCCAGCGGGGTGAGGCACCGCGCAGACCTGAGTGGGACCTCGCCACGCGACAATCCCTGAGAGACTGGCTTTACAATAATCCCCAGGATTGGGGACTGAGGCTCCAGGGGGTGGGCAAGTGATCTGAGGACACTCAAACTCGTGCCTGAAGGGCACTGTGGTGGATATGATGTATGGTGTATGTGTCTCTACATAGTGGCAGCGCAATTCCCAAACACATGTAAGTCTGCAAGTTTCTGTGAAACGGGATACCCTTTTCCCCCGTAAAAGGCTCGAAAGGCCTTGCCAGCTGAAGCGGCGTCTGAGGGGGGCACATAGGCAGCACGGGGATTGGTGGCTGTGGGATAGTTCAGATGGACAATCACAAGCCAAGCCTAGCTCACCACAGGATCAATCACATGATGCTGATGATGGTGATGATGATGATGATGATGATGACGATGATGATGATGGTGGTAGTGGTGGTGGTGATGTTGCTGATGCTGATGCTGATGCTGATGCGGATGCGGATGCTGATGCGGATGATGATACGAATGATGATGATGATGATGATGATGATGATGATGATGATGATGATGATGATGATAATGCTGATGCTGATGCTGATGCTGATGCTGATGCTGATGCTGATGCTGATGCTGATGCTGATGGTGATGATCATGAGGATGAGGATGAGGATGAGGAGGAGGAGGAGGAGGATGAGGATGATAATGAGGATGAGGAGGAGGAGGAGGAGGAGGAGGTGGAGTACGAGAAGTGTACGGTTAAGCCCTACATCGCACAATCTGCCAATGCAGAGTTGTGGTTTCAATACTCGCGACATTTTGATTTTTGAGATGCTCGGGATGACTTGCGATCCTTTGGGTTCGGATTCTGGGCACGAAGGTTGAGAATGCTGCTGCACCCGAAATTCAGAATCTTGGCCTCAGTGCTCAGGGAGATCGACGAGTCCAGGAGGACCGAGGTGAATCTGGCGTTTGGTCGCATCTTTTGGGAAGTGAGGCACGTCGGCACATTTTCCGTCGTTTGTTTCATGGCCGCCAGAGGTGACCCTCGGCATATGTTGATTCAAAAATGGTTTGGGGAAGGCAGACCAAGAGCAGGGGGTTCCAGGAGTCCTTCCAAATTCCATCAGCTCACGAGCTTTCCATCAAGTCCGACGTCAAACAATACTTAGCCGAGCCCAAGGAAGACGAGCATGGTAGCTTAGGGTTTCAAGAGCCAGGCTCCACAGGGCGCTGGCGCCTTGTCAGTAAGATTGGTGCTGCCCTCGCCACCGCCTGGTCAGCAGCACCTGTGGCTCGAGGCGTCTGCTGGCAGCCGGGCTCCCTTTCCCAGGGTTCCCTTCTGCGCCCTCTCGCAGTCTGAGCCTGTTCCGCAGTCGAACGGACCGGAGATCGAGCTTCTCTGGCCTCCGGACGGGCCGAGATCCAACGGCCCCGCTGGCACCGGGCCAGTCTGGCCGCCCTCCCAGCGGCCGAACGGGCCCCGACGCCGAACGGGCTCGGGAGGGAACCCCTGGGGCCACGCCGCGAGGTCAGGGATGCAAGGCGACGGCAAGAGCGAGGGGCCGAGTCCGCCGCGGCCCGACGAGGGCACCAGTGCGGCCAGCGCCGCGGCGCCCGAGCCGCCCGCCGCGGAGAAGAAGGCGACCGCCGGCGACAAGCACCCCGTCGGGCTGAATCCCACGGCGGAGGACAGCACGGCTCGCTCCGCGCTGGGGCGCCACCCTCCTCCCGAGTATAGGCGCTTCGAGGGCCGAGGTTTCCGGGCGATTTGCGTGCGCTCTTTTTCCTGGCCTCTGGAGGCCTCGGGTGTCAGGCGAGCTGTGCGCGCCGTCGGATACATCTGGAGGCGATCGTATTGCCTCTCCCGCCTTCCTCTCTCTCTCTCTCTGCCCGCCTGCCAGGGCCTGGGGCTGCGCACGGGCAGCCCCACGGCAGGCAGGCCTGGGGCGGCCTGGGGTGGGCCCGGGGGCTCCTCCTCGCGGACCTCCTTCCTCGTCGCTCTCCCGCATTCCTTCGTCCCCCCCCCTCCCAGGAGGATGCCAAGTCCGTGCGGAGGAAGTCCCCCCCTCGTGACCACTCCTCCATTCTCGTCCTCGCCCTCCTGCCCGCCGTCCCCCTCCCTGCGCCATTCCCTGCGCCTCTCCCCTCCTCCGTCCCGTCCTCGCCCTCCTCCTGCCCGTCCTCCTCCCTGCGCCTATCCCTGCGGTTCTCTGTGCCCCCCCTGTTGCCCCTCACACCTGCCCCTACTCCTCGCCCATCTCATGGCCCTTCCCTGCCCGCGGGGGCCGCTGGCCCATTGTGGTCGCAAATTGGCTCTGGTAACTGAAACTTGCACCATTACACTATTACGCCATTACACTATTACACCATTACACCATTACACCATCATGTAGAAGGGTGCGCCGCTGCACCATTACACCATTACACCATTCTCAGAATGGTGCACGCGTATGCCATTACACATTACACCATTACACCATTTTGAAACAGGCGTCAGACTTACACCATTACATCATTACACCATTCCGGGGAATAGGGTAAACCTCACACCATTACACCACTACGCCATTACGCCATCACGCCATGCACTTGTCGTGAGCGTGGTCGTTCGCCGATTGCCTCCGTTGTCGTCGACGACGCGACGAATGCGTTCCCGATTCCTCTCCTCCCTGTTCAGAGGCTCCCCTTGGAGCCCTCCTTCGGCCGCCTCCATCCTTTCTCGGGGGTCCTCAAATTCGTTTCCCAAAGCCCTCTTGGATGCCCTCTTCGGCCGTTTCCGGGCCCCCTCGGTAATCGGTGCAGCGGTGCAGGGCGTAATGGTGCAGCGATGGTGTGACGTAGCAGCGCAAGGGTGTAATGGTGTAATGGCGCGCCGCAGGTTTTTGACTCCCCCCAAGCGCCGCTGGGTTGGCCTGACAGGCTGCTGACAGTGTTTGAAACTTTCCGTGGGGGTCGCCAAACGCGATCCCGAAAACCACCCCCTCGCCGTCGCCGTCGCCTTGGACGTCGCTGTCGATGGCCGTTGTAGATCGGGCCGAACGAAAGGAGGGGATAGGGAAAGGGGGGTTACGAAATCTGCTGCATGCAGGATGTTTTCGGCCCCGCCGCCAGGCCCATTCCTCGATACATGGGCGCCTCCCGGCGCCGGGAGGCGCTGGGAAAATCAGCTACGACGGTGACGACAACGGTGACGACGACAGACGAATACGACGACGATGGACGACGGACGACCGACGACGACGACGAGGCGGCGCCCGCCCTGCCGGCGAGCCGGGGGGGCTGTCCGGGCCCGCCGCTGGCCGAGAGACCTCTCTCTTCCTCCTCCTCCTCCTCCTCCTCCTCCTCCTGCTGCTCCTCGTCCTCCTCCTCCTCCTCGTCTTCTTTCTGCCCGTCCACTATTGCACAATACGAGTAATTACTACTCTCCTCTGTCCCCTGATTCTGTCCGGCGGAAAACCTCCGACCCTCTCCGCGCATTTCTGATTACATCCAGGAGTTCTGCGCTCTTCAATTTCTCCTATGTGTTCGGCCGTCTCCAGGTTTTCGCACGGAATTTCCCACACGCGTTTCCACAACCACCCTCATTAAGGATCCTCAGGAGAAAATCCGAAGAACCCTCTTGGCTCGCGGGGCCCTGATCGGCCGTCTCCAACGGGCGTGGTAGTCGACAAATGCGTTTCCACAAAACCCCTCCTTAAGGATCCTTGGAGGGGGGATTTCCAAAGTGCCCTCTTGGGGCCCTGTTCGGCCGTCTCAGAACTTTCAAGGGAGCCGCCAAATGCGTTCTCACAAAACCCCCCCGAAGGATCCTCTGGGGGAGGTTCTCCACAGGACCCTCTTGAAATCTTGTTCGGCCGTCTCCGAGCTTTCAAGACAAGCGCCAAATGCATATCCACAACCCCCCTAAGAATCCTTAGGGAGAGGTTTCCCAAAACCCCTCTTGGAGCCCTGTCGGGCCGTCTGCGAGATTTCAAAATATTCGCCAAATGCGTTCTCCCACCCCCCCACCCTAAGGATCCTTAGGGGGGGCTTTCCATAGAGCCCTCTTGGAGTCCTGGTCGGACGTCTCCGACTCGTCATGAGAGTTGCCAAGAGCGTTTCCGCTCACTTTCCTTTAGAAGCCTTTGCGGACATGTGTCGAACATCACATCTTCGCAATGCAATATCACCCATCGTTGTGTTAAGCTTCGTAGTGGTAGAATGGTATGGTGTAATGGTGTAATGGCATAAACCTTACACCATTCCACATACAAGTGTCATGGTGTAAAGCGCACGCCCTTTTTTCAGACAGGTGTAATGGTGTAGTGGTGTAAACATTATAAGAATTGTGTTATGGTGTAATGGTGTAGCGCTTACACCCGTCATCAGAATTGCTTAATGCTGTAATGGTGCAGCGGCGCGCCCTTCCTACATAATGGTGTAATGGTGTAAGGGTGCATGCTTAACACCATTCCAGAGAATAGTTGGATGGTGTATTGGTGTAAGTTTCAGTTCTCAGACCCAGTTAGCGACCACACTGCGCTGCCCCCCCCCCCCCCGGCAGCTCAGGAGTGGGTGCCGCAGGTCGCCGAGCGCCGCCAGGCGCCGCCAGGCGGCGCTCGGCCGCCCACTGGCCAGCCTACTGCCCCGCCTCTCGAGCAGTCCTTTCACAGAAGGTCGGCTGTCGCCAACATTAAGCCGCAGGACCTCCTCGGGGGCTGGGCCGATTCCCTCGGGAACGCAATCCTCGTCAGCTCCCTGGACGCGTACCAGCTCAAGCTGAACGCTGTCCTCTCCCAGCCGCCAAGGACCGATCGGCTGACTCAAGAGCACCGGCTCCAACGCCAGGAGAACACCCCTCTGTGCCATAACTCTAGCGCTTTGGGGGTGGCAGCAGCATGGATGGGAGGACGGTTATCCAGTTGGGATACCTTCCCTTTCGCCAGGCCCGGACCCCAGACTCCAAGAGCTGAAATGAGCTGGATCTCGATATGACCAGTTCAGGAGCTGTAGCGCAATTTTTCTCCAGAGGAGAGGGGGAGATGAAGGAAGAGGTGGAGGGGCGAGGGGGAGGAGCACTTCTGTCACCCTGTCTGCCCCCGCATCCCTCCCGCCGCTTCCGCGGCACGGCTCTCTGCAGTAGCGGATCCCCCGAAACGGCGTTGCCCATCCAGCATCCCGCCGCTCCTCCTCCTGTCCCGAACGTGCTGCAGGGACATGCGCTCACGGCTTTGGGTAAGAAAGCGGCGATTCCGTGCCACCTCCTTGCCAGTTTCTGGCGTGTTCCCCCGTGGGCCCGCGGAAAAGACAGGGCGATAAAACTCGTCCAGCATGGCTTTGTTCCAAGACAGGGGTGCAGGACTTGTTGCATTCCTTTTGCCCCACCTTCCAAAGGGCTAAGTTGAGCGCGTTGTATCAAGCAGCGCCAGCAACAGACATTGTACCGTGTCCTTTTCCTTTGACTGTTGCAGTATGTAGACAAGCAGTACCGCCGCCACCACTGGTTATATTACGGAAGGCCCTCAACGGCCAGCAGGGCTGCCGCAGAGCCAATCAGTTCCCCAGGCATAGGATAATATGTCGGAGCGTTAGACGTCTTTTGGCTTGAACCCACACATCTAGCTATCTGCGGGACCCCCCTGCCACCGTACCAGCGCATCGTCGAAATGTATGCAGGATTGTTCTACCGAGCTTTCCCGAATAGGATCGGTTGAGCAATGTTGGGGTTCACTGGGGCGTGGTGCCACGATGCTGTAGCGTGGCGGCCTTCTGCACTATATGACCGTAATGTTGAATTGGTTGTGATTGGACATGAGGGCGTCGTAGAAGCTTGTTGGGGGCTTCCTTGGGGCCTCTCAGGAGCCTATTGGAGTCATCTCGGCGGCCCCTTGGAGATTTCAGAAGGGCCTCTTGGGACCTCCCTGGGGTCTTGGGGCTATCTTAAGCGCGCTGATTGTACCGAGCTCTCCTGAAGAAGCTCGAAATAACAATCTTGGGGTCGTCTGGTCGTGGCTTGGGGCCCTTTGGGAGGTCTCTAGGGGCTTTCTCAGAGGGTCCTTAGGCTGTCTTGGGGCTCTGGTCAGGTCGTTGTTGGCGCTTGCTGGGGCCTTCTGGGGCACGTCCTGGGACTCCCTGGAGCAAAGGACATGGAAGCCGAGCACATCGAACAACCACAGGTCTTTCCCTAATAGCGGCCGATCTCGGATTCGACGAGGGTTACGCATCAGTTGCGACACCACGAAATCCCCCTGGGGGGGTCACGGGCTCCCGTCCCGCAGTATCTCCAGAACTGGGCCCACCCCTAGCATTCAGAGCGTGTCCGCCCGAAGATGGCGCTTCCTGAGACCAGGTTCCGGTGCGTCCCAGAACCGTCCCAGGTGCCCCCCAGGTCCACTGTGAGGGGGCCCGCTCGAGGGCCGTGCGCCCCACGACCACACGCCAGCGCGTCCCAGTACCGTCCTGTTCGCATTCTCTGAGTGTGTGCGCGCGCGCACCTCGCGGACTGCTCCTCGCGAACCCTCGCCGCGTCTGCTTCTTTTCCGCTAGGGGAGGCGAAGGACACATTCCGCTTCAAAATCCCGGTCAGAACGCGTCCAGGAAGGGGTTCAGGGATGGAGTGTGAGCGGCACGATCCCAGACTTGCAGGCTCGGGGCTCAAGAATCATGGGGGGCTTGTTTGTCCGCAGATTCGGCGTCCGAGGGCCAAGGATGAGGGCGGGAGCTCCAATGCCCCACTATTTGGTGAACAAACATCGGGTGTCGAAGGTGTGGAAACAGCATCCTATCTCTCTTCCAGTTTCTCTTCTTATCTTCCTCCTTCTCCGCTCCTTATCTTCCGCAACTCCCTTTTCCTACTTGTCACCCTCGTCCTATTCCTCCCCCCTCATCCTCATTCTCTTCTGGATGCAAATGAGAAGCAGGGGGAAGGGGAGTTGTTATTCCACCTCCTTCTCTCGTTCTCTCTCGCTCTCTCTTCTTTTTTTTCCTCTCTCTCTCTCTCTCTCTTTCTCTCCCCCACGATTGATCCTTTTTTACCTCCTCCGCCTCGACCTGAGGAGAGACATCAACCTGTCACTTCGCCCCACAGACACTGGTGGCTGGGTCTGCGGCAACGCGATGCTCGACCCGACGTGGAGCTCTCCAGGGCAGCTTCATTGGATCACGGGCGATGGTAAAGTTTCTGTATGGGTCCGCCTGGAGGGTGAAGCTTGAGAGGTGGCCGTTGTTGCGATTTATAGTTCGAGGTTGCCAATCCTCGAACGCAGTGTTTGCCGGACATGGAAAAAAACAGCAACTGATATCAAGCGTTCACCAGACATGGGGGTTCAGTGGGACCGTGGGCCGAGCGCAGAAAATCCCGACGTGCAGTGCGACCGAGCACCCCGAAAACGGGAAGGCGCAAAATATGCGGCGGGTGAGCACTGCGTTCAAACATTTAGCGGCGTGTGATTGCGGCGCTGGCCTCGGAGTAGCTTGGTGCATGTATGGCACGCCCGTCCGCTTCTCCATCTCCTCCCCCTCCTATACTAAGTCCCCCTGCCACCTACTTTTGATCGTGACGGGACGTGTGAGTTGTTGTAGCTTCACCTGAATGCGATGCTGCTCCACTAGTGTGAACAGCTCCTTGCCTACAGAAAGATCAGCAGCGCCTGCCCCTACAGCAACACGATTATGTAGCGTTCTGGATGTCACAGCGTCACACCGTTGTTGCGATAGCACTGAATTGTTGACGCTTCGCGAATCCCCACCAGCCCATCCAGAAACGATGCCCAGAGGAATTGCCTCGATCAGGGAAGCGGGCAGCACACAGAGGAAGGGTCCCCCAGTGGAGGCTTCTTGGAGCGTCTTGGGGGCCCCTTGGCGGTCCCGGACGCCTCTTAGAGCGTCTTGGGTGCCTCGGTGAGCTTCTTGGGGCCTCTTGGGGGTCTCTTGGGAGCCTCTTGGAGGCCTCTTGGGCGCCTGTTGGGGCCTCCTGGACGCCTCTTGGGGCCCTCTTGAAGCGCTCTTGGGAGCCTTGGGGGCGCTCTTGGAGCCCTCTTGGGCCATCTTGGAGCCATCTGGAGGCTTCGGCGAGAAAGCCAAAAACATGGGTGTTCCTAAGGTTTTTGTCCAGGGTTTTGGCCTCTGCGGGGCCTCCTGGGGAAGCTCTTTGGCCACTTGGAGCCGTCTTGGAGCGGTCTTGGGGCTTCTTGGAGCATCTTGGGCGCCATCTTGAGGCATCTTGGGATATCTTGAGCCATCTTGGAGATCATCTTTGGCTCTCCCAGGCGCTCTTGGAGTCATCTGAAGCAGTGTCCCCCCCAGGAGGCCAAAATGTGGCCAAAACCTTGGTAAAATCAACGATGTTGGCATTGTCGCCGAGGCCTCTTGGAGCGTCTTGGGTGCCTTTGGGGGGCCTCTTGGGGCCTCTTGGAGGTCGCTTGGAGGTCTCTTGGGCCTCTCTTGGGGGCATCCTGGGGGCCTATTGGGCCTCCTGGCCACCTCGGGGGGCCTCTTGGGGCACCCTTGGGAGCCTTGAGAGCGCTCTTGGGGCCATCTCGAAGGAGATCGATCAAAGAAGGGCGGGGTACGGATTAGGGTCGCCCCCTCAGAAGGCCAAAATGAAGCCAAAACCATAGTAAAATCAATGATTTTGGCTTCCTCGCCGAGGCCGTTTCGGACGCTCCGACGACTCGCGAGACCCCTTGTCCAGCTCCAGGGGAGGGGGTAGGAGGAGGGGTAAACCCCTCCCCGAAGGAGAAGAAGGAGGGGTGGAAGAGGAAACTCTCTAAACCACCGACGCCCAGAGGGCTGGTGGGATTAGCGATCGCGGCTGCAATGGCAATGGGATCTTAGCAATCAGCCGACAACGCAGCATATTGCTATGCAAAAGCCTGTCAGTCCCCATCCTGCTCCCCTTTGTCCTGGCTGGCGACAAGGCGCACCTGCCCTTCATGGTCGACGCCTCTCCTAACGCGCGGGTCTGGTAGTGGAGCTGCAGTTGGATGGCGAGGAGAGCCACACACATCGCCGAGGCTCGTTTTATTTTCCGCTCAGTCGAGGATTTTTCGAGGGCCGAGATCCGACTGCAAGTACCAGTGTGCCCCACTTTCTCCTCTCCTCTTGCCCACGCTGTGCTGAAGCAGTGTTTTCCTCCTGCGTACGATGCGCTGGGGCAGTCACCTGAGACCGGCCTTGCTCATCCATCAACCCCTCTCCTCATCGCCCGTCCAGTGGATGAGCACTGGCTGCCGCCATAGCATCGCGAGCCGATCTTGTTTAGAGTGTTTAATTTTCTTGCCTGTATCATCCGTGCTGCCACAGCAAAGTGGGAGGTCAACCGAGATAACTGTGATAATGCCGCTGTACGACATGTTGAGGTAAATGCCCCGCGTGCCCGCCCCCGCCTCCTCCTGTTTCCCTCCCTTCCTTCCTCTCACTTCTTCCAGAGGGCTCCTCTCGAGCTCGGCGGTGCTAAATGGTAGCACTGGAGCGACGAAGTCCCAAACCCTGAGCCACAACGTAGCCATCATGATCACTCGTGGGCATCCGACGTCGAGGAGATCGAGGACTAATCATATGTATTCTTGCGTTTTTGGCCTTTCGTGCTTCCGGGGGCCTCCAGGGGACATTTGGGGACCTCCGGATACGTCCGGAGACCTCCGGGGGCCCCTGGGCCTCGGGGAGACTCCGCGGATCGCGAAGGAACTTGAGGCCC